ATATTAGATGTCTTAATAGTAATTAATTTGAAGCAATTCTAGAATATGTTTTGTTAATCAATTGGAAAAATCAGTACTCAATCCAGTTACAGATGCGTTCAACTAATTAGCAACGAAATTCAAAATGATACTCTTTGCAACTTATGTTTATTTATTTATTTTTAATAATTTTCATTTAAAAAATAATTCAAAATAAAAGTACTAAGTACAAAAATAGTTAGGTATTTGTGTTCAGGTAAATACCAAAGTAACGGATTTAAACTTTGGCCAAATAAATTTAAGTTTTGGACAATTAAATTTAAACTTTGACAAATACAATTAAACTCTACTGTGCAACTAAATCTATTGTACGAGAAATCGGACTACGACGGATTCAGTGATAGCTCCGAGTATAGCCAAAACTGGTAAAAAGTTGTGAAAGTTTTTAAACGGACCTATTATCGCACGAGTAAAGGAACACTGAATTTCAATACAGGTGAAATAAGCTGATGCCAGATAAAACTTTGTGGCTTTGCGTGGCAATTATAACTTTGCCAGCAATGCGCCAGACGCAAAAGCCACAATGAACGCCAAGAAAACAATTTTGTTTTGCTTTTTTAATCGTCCGTATTGTTGTGGACTTCATATACATAAGTATTAAGCATTCGAAATATCAGCAATGTAATTAAATTGTATGTTTCTGCACGATTGCTCGAATTTGGATGAAACAATATAAATATTAAACCGGCTGATTGTTTCCCATCTTTTCGCTTCGCGCTGCAGTTGCAACGATCTGTGTATGTACGTGGCATGCTTTGTGCATTTTCATACAATTCATCTCATCTGTCACGCAAAGCGAAGCAAGCGTTTTATCTGGCATCAGCTTTACACAGCATAAGTTGCGTTCCAGATGCTTCACGATTTGCAGGTTTTACAGGATTTGCAGGAAAAGCTGTTTTCTCCATTAATAAAGCTTATGCAAGGTGGTAACCTGGAACGACTTCCTGTAAAAACCTTCAAATCGTGAAGCATCTGGAACGCAACTATAATAATCACTAATTTTGGCAATCCGGAGATACTGATTTGCAACTAACGTGCGCATGCTTTATGTTAATACGTTATGCAAGCCTCCTATTATAGGTTTCTATATACAATTGAGGGATTCACAAAGGTATTGTAAGTGTCGTATTGTTGTATGTCGTAAACTTTAAAAGCTTAAGTAAATGCTTTGAGGACTTGAAACGACAACCAACTATTATTCGTAATATGACTTTGATGGTACTTTACGAACCCCTTTAATATATTTTTTAGGCGTTTAAAGTTTACAACATAAAACAATACGACTCCATTGTGAATTCCCCAAACACGCAAATTTACATAAGTTGTAAAGCAATACACCACACCACCTCGGTTCCGCACATTGCACACAAAGGTTTTTATTATTAACAAAAACCACTGCATATAATACTTTCCCAATATTTTTGCTGCTGGCGCTTTCAGTGACTTAGGGCCAGTTTAAACATAAATTACTTAAACTAAGTTTATATTGAACAGCTGGTTGGCATTTGATTGGCCAATCTTAGTTTGAACTAACCAGCTCGACAGTTTAAGCCACAACCGTGAACTGAAAAACTGGCCCTTAATGCAGTTTAGTCTTTTACACACCCAAAAGGATTGAAATCCGAAATTTTTGGAAAACACGGCACAACACAGAACATGTCTTAAGACTAGATTCCACACCATGATTTTAAAGCATTCCGGCTTTCTACATTTTTGTTTGCACACAAATCCTAACTTCAATAAAGTCACTGAAAGAGCCACAAGCCTGTGCAAAATTTTGCACAATTTACATATGTCACTTAAATCACTTTTTATCACTTCACTACTAATACTTCCTTTAAATCAACACGGCCAGTCCCAAATTTTGCAATTTATTTGCTGAAAAATATAATAAATTATAGAAAATATAACAATTTTAGTTAGCTCACCTGATTTCAGCTACGAAAATGGTAACGAATTTGCAAACAATAAACGAGTTCTTTTTCATGAGTTCTTTTGTAAGTTTTAGTGATGCACTTCTTCTGTGAAAAGTACTTGTGCAAAAAAGTAACCATATAAGATTGAATTGACACCGCGCGGTATAAAAGCGCATTTATCGTACGAAAATATGCAATGCAGAACTAGAATCCTACAAGTCAATTAATTACAACAATGGTATCTAAAAATGTTGTGGAAATTCTAAATTGTTTGAACTTTTGCTTCAATACCGGGTACTTTTAATATGAAATAATTACTTCCAAGACATGATTTCCTCATCACAAATCTTGTTGTCATGACAACAAAGTTATTATAGCATTGGCTGCAAATGAGAATGTATTAGAAAATAGTAAAATATTTGTGAATGTGTTGGGGTTTGTGCGTAAAGTGCTCAGCAGTGTCTTGTAGGGTTTGATGTAGGATATATGTACATCTGCATATGTATTATTCTTATGCAACGCTACCTTAGAATAATAAAATGAGAAACACCCCAATCGGAAAAGTATTAATGCATTGCATGCGTGTAAATAATATAATGTATTTCTTATGCGTTCTCGATAATATTACTGCTAACTATGTAATCAGCATTATAATGTATTCAAAAATTTCCAAAAATTTCATATTAAAACACATTCATTTCTCGATACTATGCCCCACTTTTCTTAGGACATCGCCCTGGGGGAAAAAATGCATTTTCGAATGTGAAAAGGGTTGTTTTACTGATTATTTTTTTGATTACTATACATTACATTTTCCCACTGGGATACTAAACCCTTTTTTTTACTTAACATTTATTAAACTTATTAAACTATATCAATAAATTAAATCTTATGAAATATTTTCTCCTTCATTACAGATCCTGCGCAAAGTGGCAGTAGTTGTGTACACCGCCTTGGATTATAACTTGGCAGTTGATGAACAGTGTCAAATGTCACATGAATTAGAAGAACTGATCACCTACATGACAGCGGAAGGTAAGATAAACCAATTCGCTAAACTATCATATCAATGTCATTAAAAAGCTCGTTCGGTTTCATCTTATTCGCCAACTTAACAATTTATTATTTTTTTTTAAAACATTGCACATTTTTCTTGTGAAATTCTTTTTCGTTTTGGGAGGACCCCACAATTGTTTTTAACTAGTTCTTACTATGTAGCATTTATTAACTGGAACAGGAGAATCGATTTTCTTCAAAATTCCTACTTTTTGTGCACTTTGCACATAAGTTTTATATTACGGTAGGTGTTCAATGCAACATCGTTTGAGTTATGTACTTTATAAATTTGTACGAAACTGTTAGCTATCTCGCAAAATAGCAAATAGTATAATCGGTCCATGGGGAGTGCGGGAGTATGAATGACAAAATAGTAGTAAAAAAAAAACTCCAATCGTAGTACTTTTAGCAGCACTGCATCGGTCTCTTCTACTTCCTTTAATTGCAATTTTGATATGACCACTTCTTCTTTTTAAAAACTTGTTTCGTTCTGTTACATAGAAACCATCCCATCGTAAAGTCCTCTTTCACGGAGGTTTCTAGTGAAATATTGAAATAATTATTCAATAAGCACTTTGTGGCACTTCCACTTTAATTTATTTTTTAATACACACCTTTTGCAGTTAGTATACAAAGTTTCCAAAATATGATTTCATAGAATTTTTTTAACGCCTCCGAAATTATGTTCTTAAAGTAACAGCATTACAGGCTAAACTAATATTCGCGGCATGCGTTTTGGTACGCACGCCGTCGAATTTGTTTTTTTGCGTCACCCGAAATAGGCTTTCGTGCGTTTGCATTTGATTTCATTGAGCGAAACGTCAAATCAAAATGTCACGCAGAACAAAAATTGCAAATTGAGTTAGCTTCATACGCACGCCGTTCAATTTCGGTTGGTCCCATACAAGTTGTATGTGCATGAGAAATTTTTGACAGTAAAATGGCGGCTTGCGTGAATATTAGGTTAGCCTGTCACGAATATGCCAAACCAAAACAATAATAGTTTTAAATTTTTTTATTTCATAACGCGAAAATTATATATGTACATACTTGCTTTGGGTGGTATGAAGGAAGAGTCTGAAACTTTGAGATTTGCTTGCTGGTCTCTTATGCTAAATGGTTACTAAATTTGATTAAATGTGTTTTCAGCTTTACATTTTCACGTTTAATTTTAATAACGTTTAAAGACTAATAAATGCATTAAATTATTTTTAGTTAACAAAGGAAACTGTCGTTATAGTTGATTCATTCAAGTTCTATATCACAAGTTATGTTTGTATTACTTAATAATAATAATAATAGATTGGCGCTTACACATATGATAGTGTTTGGCCGAGCTTCTCCGATTTTGTGGAGTGCGCCTTGATGTTGTCATACAAAGCGGAGGGACCTACAGTTTTACGTCGACTCCGAACGGCGATTGTATTTTTATGAGAAGCTGTTTTTCATGGCAGAAATACACTCGAAGGTTTACCATTGCCTGCCGAGGGACGAACGCTGTCTTTTTTCTATATTTTTGCGCTGTTTCTTTGACCAGGGTTTGAACCCAGGTGCTGCGGAGTGGAAGCGCGCACTGCTTACCACTACACCACAGCGGCCGACTGTATTGCTTACATAAATATAAAAAAGGTGTCTGCACAAAAAACATTGCAAATTGATAAAAGCGTTGCAAAGTAGATCGATTAAAACTTATGACTTTTTTATGATGTGTAGTGCCAAATAAACCAGAAAGGTAAAAGAAGGTGTTAGGCACGATCGAGAGAATACAAAGGTTGCGCCGATCTCGGACCGCTATTCCTCTTAACGAATTTGACAGAATCATTGTTTGCATGACGTCACACTTGTGTAACTTGTTTACGTTTTCCTTGCAACATTTTTTCTTCTTCCATTCTTGCTCACGTTTTGGCATTTCTCTCTCGCAATTGCACCAGTGTGACGTCACACAAAAGTTATTCTCAAAAATCCTCTCTAATCGGCGCAATCTTGTATTCTATCATTCTTGGGTGTTAGGTATATTAGGGATCTTACGAGTGTGTTACGCGCGGTGATAGGATTTATAACGAGACACAATCTATAAGGACGAAATATGTGCGCCGTAGTGCGAGTCACTACGACATCTTAGAAGATGAGGATAGAAAGTAAAAAGCATTTTCTCGGCAATTGTCCAATCCATATGGTTTTGAGTGTCAAATATCTATTAAAGGTTTTGGAAGGTCCATTTTTTGTTTCCAAAAAAAGTGTTTTCCTAGTTTTCCAAAGAACTTCCTAAAACTAATCACCTAATCGTGAATCAAATATTGTCATTTCGGGCAGGCCCCCGCAGCGTACTGACTAATGTTTGTACAAAATAATTAAATAAACAAACAAACATATGTATGTGCATACGTAAATACGTAATTAAATAATTTTTTATGACTTGGAACAATTGGAAACACGTGATGTCAGCGCTCGCTCCGGTGCAGCTGTACACCAGTAGTGGATGACGAATCGCCGACACCGCCAGCCAGCGTTTGATTCATTCTTTCATTTCCTTACCTTTATTTTTTCTTTTTTGCACTATTTCTCCCTATTTAAGCAACACAAGATGCGATACAGTATATTGCAAGCTTTTTTTTACCTTACTTTTCCATATTTTTTTCGCGTTTTTTTTTTGCTTCACGCTGATTATTTCAATTTATTTGACTGTTTCCATTAAATGTTTTGCCATTTTCATGTTCGGTGCACCTCCGCCAATTCAATTGTTTTTGTTTTACATTATTTTTTATTGGTTTATTTTGAATGTTAATGCTGTGCTGTTGTAATTTTTGGTTTTGCGGAAAACCACAAGCGTCGTGTCACCATCTGTCGGTTATCTGTGATTTGTAATCTGCGGTCGCCATTTGGCGGTTAGCGGTTAGTGATCAGCTGTCTGTAATTCTGTCTCACAGCAAATCGAATATCTTTTCCTGCATCGCTGTGTGTTAGTGCAGCGCGCCGCTTCATAAACCGATGCCAGACAGCGAATTAAGAGTGGGTCTGATTTTTCAAGGACGCGTGTGACTATTGCCCTGGTTAGCGAATTTTTTATGTCGCAGTATTTTTTGATCGACATTAAGTGGCACAAAGGGGCAATGAATGGTAAGGGTATAGGAGGTAGCAGGGAGGGCTGGGATTGTAGGGTTGCAAAATTCATAGACATCGTTGCTTTTTCGAGATCATTTTTACTTTTTTCATACCAGTGAATACTAAATGATGCATTTTAAAAGCCGCGCCGTTACTTGTTTATGCATGTGCATTTTTAAAGTTTCGAAGAGCTTAAAAATACTCGAATAAATTTAATTTTTCTACTTTTCAGAAAACGATGATGACTGCATCGATGAGGGCATTGATGAGGGCCACCAACGTTGGGATGACGATGGCGATGATGAGAAATGGAATGAAACCAAAGAATTTGATTTTGTGCTTGAGGTAAGTTGTTACCAATTTAATGATATTCATATCCGCCAACCTTGAAAAAAATAAGTTCGAGTACAATCAAGCTTTTGAATCGTATTAATTTACGTATGTATGTGGGTTCGTATCAATAATGATAGAATGAAAGAATACAAGATTGCGCCCATAAGAGAGAATTTTTTACAATAATTTTTGTTTGACGTCACACTGGTGCGTTTTCTAGAGAGAAATGCCAAAACGCGACCAGGAATCGAAGAAAAATATGAAATTTTGCAAGAAAAACTAAAACTAGTTGAACACGTGTGACGTCATACAAATAGCGATTCTCTTAGAGCGGTATAGCGGTACCGAGATGGGCGCCACCTTTGTTCTCTACATCGTGGGTTCGTATCTACATATGTGGCCTGGTCTACGGAAAGGGGACTTAGGTGTCAAAAAATCAATTTTCACGTTTTGGTTGATTCGGATGGAAGATGAGATGCTTTTTCATGTGGTGAAAAGCAGAAATNCTGAACTCCTCATCAACACTCATGTTTCATTTCATGCGAAATGCGAAGACGATAATCAACAGAAACAGTAAACGTCACTTCTTCAGTGTTACTTTTTTAAATGTTCCACACTAGCAACTTACACGATGAACTATAATAATATTCCGACCAACAACAACACTTACTGGACCAACAACAACACTTACTGGACCAACAACAACACTTACTGGACGTCCGGCGCGGAGAACAATTAACGAGATAATAAGAAACTGACGAAACGAGTTGCTTACTTTTAACAGCTTTTTCACAGAAAACTAGTTTTCGCACGTAAGCTCCCTTTTCGTAGACCAGGTCACATATGTACATACATATATATGTATGTCTGTACTCGTATGTATTATAAGATATCTCTGCTGAAACGTGCCTAACAACAAGAATGGATAGTGCGGTCTTCGATTATGCCGAAGGCTTCAAAACTTTCAGGAATATAAGAAAAATGTAATCTTATAGTACGTTCATATCTTCTGTTTTAAATTACCTTAGCCACTTAAATGGAGGATATTAATCATAAAAACTCATATCTGATCAATCAGTGGTATGGAAGGTCTAAATGAAAGAATCTTAAAACGAAATCTGATTTCTGAACAATCAGTTCAGTTGTACTGTAACACTTTCACTACATCAACTGGTGGGAAATTATTATATTTGAAAATCTATTACAAGGCCTCAGAAGGACCGCAGCGAAAATCTAAATCCACCAGTAACACCACCTTTTATAAATTCGCCTGTATCTATTAGCTACTTTAAAAACATTTGCTATAAAGCTGAAACGCAAACCGAATGATGTCCTAAAGGTAAAAGGTTCAATTTTGATATGGGATTCAATGGGAACTTTATTTCAAATTAGAACTTCAATCCAAGCCTTTCTCAATGATTATTGTGTTGAGGCATTCCACAAACAAATTGCTTGGTGTCATGAGTTTTGTGACATAAAAAGTAATATGTATTCCAGGACTCTCTTGGAACCATTCTGCCTGGCAATAAAAACAACGATTCAAGTATCTCTGGCTGAGAGTAAATATATACCTAACCTAAATTGTTAAGATATGATGTCAGGCTCTAACCTCACTAGAACTATGACGACAATAGAGGAACTACGCCTTCTTTTTCTTTACCTAGGATAAGCTGGGCATAAAACTGAATTACTCTATGTTATTTCATTGAGGAACTAAGCGATCATTAGACTTAGCAACCCTATGAAAATATCTGGACATTCAGAAGATATATGTACATACAATTGTTTCTTGTATCCCTACATGTGCATGGATTTTTCTGAGGCTAAATACTTAAGTACCTTAGCTCTCTTGATGAAGAGTGGACGAGCAATCTTTTACAAATCAGAATCCTACTGTAGAGCACCTTCTAGCCTCTTCTTGATAAAAAAAATCTAATACCATATGACGATATTTTAAAAAATTCAAAAATATACATATTTATATATGTACTAGGGCATTCAATCCCGAAGCTTTTTAACAATCTCGGGATTTTTCGGGATTTTGACTTTATCACAATTTTTGCATTTTGCAATAAGCTCACCGTTCTCAGCAATCAAAAAAATGAAACCACACAGATTCATTGCCACCACATTTCGTCTTACGTGGAGCGTTATGCACCTTAGTAAAAGAGTCCGTAATTTAACGTTAAAATATTTTTATAGTGTTCTTAAATATCTATGTATATTAATTGTAAAAATAACACTTACTCGTATTTGCAGAAACTCAATCTCCACAAAACGCCAACAAAGTAAAATGAAGAACGATTCTGTCACACTGTAAAAGGTTTTTGTGTTTTTATTTGCTACTAGATTTTTCGTTTTTACACAGTTACAGTGTTTCAGGCAAGTTCTGAAATCCACTTCCGGGTGCCAATTACTCAAGTTCACTTTGAATCCAAATTTTGGTATTCTGGATCCCGAGATTAAAGGCCCTAGTATGTACATATCGCTTACCCACTTCAAAGGTGACGCAAGTCAAATTTCATCATTTTTAAAACTATGCGCTAAAAAATATGTACGGACCTTAGGTTTATTTTCGAGCAAAAGCTGGTGCAAATTTTGTTGTAATTTGTTGAAAATATCTAAGGCTAAGTGAAGTCCAAAAAATTTTTTTTCGTATTTCCTGGCAAGCGGGTAATTTTGAGTTGTGTCCCCTTTGAAGTGGTTGTGCGATATGTATTTATGTAAATGATTGCTTTACATAAAAAATTGCATAAGTGAATACATACATACATATGTAAGTATGTACAAGTATTCATGAATAATATTTATTTTCCATTTCAACTCCCTGTTGTCATTTGTTTCTCTTGCCGTAACTGATTAACCTAGTTTACTATCCATCTTGACCCGATATTTGTCGTTCAATCATCGCTTTTTGATTTATTCCCACACTCTTTGAGACACATTTTACATTTACTTATTCAATTACAAGATACATCTATACAGCGAAATTGGTTGTACGCTTTAATGTTCGTTTACCGATCTGGCTTATGCTGCAATAACTGTTGTTGACTTTTGAGTGGCTATATCGAGTGTCCACTGAAGTGGATTAAGGAGTGCCCAGTGTTTTGATTTAATTTTATTTATTTTTTTCGTTGCGTACTTTATGGTTGCAGCGGATCAGATTAGGGAAGTTTAGGGCCACTAGGCCAATTGAATGGCAGTTGAGTTTCTATGTTGCAACAATGTTGTTTTAATAATTTAATGGTGGGAAATGATAACGAACGAAGCAAATTGGTTAAAAAAATGGTCATATACATATCGTCGTTTAAATTACAAAACGGCGTATCAACAAAATGCAAAACTGCGTATGTGAGGTTGCATAAATTATATCCAGATAGTAAAAACACTCATGTTTCAAAATGGTTCTCTTTTTTATAAAGCAGTTGCATTTCTGGCTAGTATATTTCAGGACGAATGAACAAGGATTGAGCCAAGAGCTTGTGTGAGCAAATCCAATTTTTGGCAGCTAATGTCGGTTACGCGGTTTTGTACTGTAAGCAACGGTATGTATGTATGTATGGGGTACAGATAATAACCCGGTTCGCTAGATTTTCATTTTCAACCTGCACAAACTTACCAAAATAGTACATGTTTTTTTTTTATTATTTTAGAAAAGAAAACGAGGAATCTTTTGAATTTCAACTTCAGTCGGGTTCTCCGGTGCAAAGGTTATGAAAAAGTCAAGAGGTTTTATTGTATTTTAGAGCAGGTATTTTCTTGTTTTATGCTGAACTTCCACTGGGCAATGACAAAACCAACTTAAACAACTGGCATTTGGAAAGAGACTTAATGGCTTTTATTTTGACAAAACTTTATTATTATTCACCTATGTGTAATCTAATCATGCAATCAATTTATTTTCAACTTCCCGATGAGCTAGAGACTTGAAACTTCAGGCCTATCTCGGAGCCCGATGATAATGCAATATGAAACAGGAATTTACCTGCTACGATATCTCAAAACCCCGTTTTTATGCTCCCATAAGATTCATATTTGGAATGTACATTAGAGCTTAAACAAATACCTAATCTATGAGTGTAAGGGTACAAAAAGCAGTATATTTTTATGAAAGTACTTAAACGACTAAGTTTTTAAGTCCTCCTTGCTTGTAACAGCAAAACGAATCGAGATACATATAGACAAATGTATACATAAATGATCAGAATGAAAAAAGATATCGATTTNATCCAGATAGTAAAAACACTCATGTTTCAAAATGGTTCTCTTTTTTATAAAGCAGTTGCATTTCTGGCTAGTATATTTCAGGACGAATGAACAAGGATTGAGCCAAGAGCTTGTGTGAGCAAATCCAATTTTTGGCAGCTAATGTCGGTTACGCGGTTTTGTACTGTAAGCAACGGTATGTATGTATGTATGGGGTACAGATAATAACCCGGTTCGCTAGATTTTCATTTTCAACCTGCACAAACTTACCAAAATAGTACATGTTTTTTTTTTATTATTTTAGAAAAGAAAACGAGGAATCTTTTGAATTTCAACTTCAGTCGGGTTCTCCGGTGCAAAGGTTATGAAAAAGTCAAGAGGTTTTATTGTATTTTAGAGCAGGTATTTTCTTGTTTTATGCTGAACTTCCACTGGGCAATGACAAAACCAACTTAAACAACTGGCATTTGGAAAGAGACTTAATGGCTTTTATTTTGACAAAACTTTATTATTATTCACCTATGTGTAATCTAATCATGCAATCAATTTATTTTCAACTTCCCGATGAGCTAGAGACTTGAAACTTCAGGCCTATCTCGGAGCCCGATGATAATGCAATATGAAACAGGAATTTACCTGCTACGATATCTCAAAACCCCGTTTTTATGCTCCCATAAGATTCATATTTGGAATGTACATTAGAGCTTAAACAAATACCTAATCTATGAGTGTAAGGGTACAAAAAGCAGTATATTTTTATGAAAGTACTTAAACGACTAAGTTTTTAAGTCCTCCTTGCTTGTAAC